CTACACAACAGCATGCTGCAAACCTCCAAAATCGACTCATCGAACTCCTCCAGCCTGGACGGAAGCTACGAACAGTCCATAGTGCGATGGCACCCAGGCGAGTAGCCCGGCAGAGTCCTCACATGAAGAATACCCGAATTCATTACGAAGTTGGCGCAAAAGTGTATGTGCGGGACTATAGACATGGTTATAATAGATGGATAGAGGGTGAAGTCGCAAAGAGACAGGGGAAGGTCATGTATGAGGTCAGAGTAAGCAAAGAAATCTGGACCAGGCACCATAATCAACTAAGGCCAAGAGAAGCCAAGAAAAAAATTGAAGTTACTGGATACTTTCCAACTTCCGCCAATAACTACAACGGAGGCAACTCAGTCATCTAATCAAGCAGAACATTCTTCAGGTTTTCGGTCGGAGCGCAAACGAAGAAAACCAAAGAACTTTCAGGTAAACCCAGTTGTGTCGCTATTAATTTTTTTTCCAAGAGGTGTTAGGATATTCACAGGAATATCCCAAAAATTATCTCGAATGTAAATTGGCATGTTTTCAGCCTCTTCATATATTTTACATGTTATTTCCTATTGGCCATTATTACAGTTGTCCTAACTATGACTTTCATGTGTCGTTTCCCTATTGGTCAATTTTGAGTTGTCCTAATTATAACCTTTACGTGTCCTTCCTTTCCATTGGTTACTGTTAATAGTCATCGTAACTGTATAAATATGCCTTGTTTGTAAACCATTTTTGTTCTGCTGCTGACCCCATAAACAATTCTCATTTAACGGCTGTGTTCTGATTTATTGGAGTTGGGGAACAGTATTGGGGTCGAACTAGGATATCTGAATTTGGTCAATCGGTAGAATTTCGTGTAGTCCTATCGCGATACGTAATAATTTCGCGACGTAACAATTTGGCGACGGAGATTTTGCAAACAAGTTGCTGACTAGCTATGGATCCAGTTAAATTAGAAGAATTGTTCAAGCAACAGCTGAAGATGTTTACTCAGACGCAGATCTCTTCTCGAGTCTCATGTACACCAACAATCCCTCAATCAGTCGACGGTATTACCAGTGGTATTTCAGAGTTTCTTTATGATCCTGATGCTAATATCACATTTGATACCTGGTTCAGACGTTATGAAGATCTTTTTAAAGTCGACCTTGCTGAGAGAGATGATTCGTGGAAGGTGCGTCTTCTCCTTCGAAAACTTGGTCCATCAGAGCTTGATAAGTATTGCAACTTCATTCTACCGCAGAACTCACGAGACCGTTCCTTCGATGCCACTGTTCAAACTCTCAGTCAACTTTTTGGTGACCATCATTCACTCTTCAATACGCGTTATCGCTGTTTAAAACTGATCATGAACGAGTCCGATGACTTCCTAACCCATGTTGGCATAGTCAATCGTGAGTGCGAACGGTTCAAGCTCAAATCCTTTACCGACGACCAATTCAAACCCCTCGTATTCATATGTAGTCTTCAGTCACCCGAATTCTCCGACATCAGAACTCGATTGCTGAACCGCCTTGAACAAGATTCAACGCTGACACTTGATGCAATCGCCGACGAGTATCAACGCATTGTCAACTTGCAGCGTGACACCACTTTGGTCCAATCTGGGGGCCAGGGTGGTTCCGAAGTTCACGCTGTCCAACGTCAGAACAAATCTCCGAGATCGACAACCTGTAGCCCTACGAAAGCCAGTGCTCCTTCTTTCTCTAATCACTCCAGACCGGTTCAGAAGAAGCCACCCTCTCCATGTTGGCACTGTGGAGCCTGGCATTATGTGAAATTTTGTCCATTCAAACAGCAGCTGTGCGATCGCTGTCATAAAGTTGGTCACAAAAGCGGTTTTTGTCAGTCCCATCGACCCAATAGCCGTCGAAATGCACAGACACAGCATCGTTATCCTAAAAAGCCGGTTCCCTCATCAGGAAGTTTAGCAGCAGTCTTTCACACCCATGCCGCCACGCGACGCAAATTTCTTACCCTCTCAATCAATGGTCAGCCAGTTCGATTGCAGTCGGACAATGCATCAAATATCACTATTCTGTCGAAAGATACTTGGCTAACCTTGGGTCGACTTCCCATCAAACCATCTTCACAGACAGTCGTGAGTGCATATGGTGGTCATCTCCGCCTTCATGGTGAACTTAATTGCTGTATTTCGTTCAGAGATACAACCTTCAACGGAACGTGCTACAACACCAAATCTCCTCTCAACCTTCTGGGTTTAGATTGGTTCGAAGAACTTGGTCTTGCCAATCTTCCTATCAGCACTATATGTAATCAAGTACAAACTTCTGCTACTACACAACAGCATGCTGCAAACCTCCAAAATCGACTCATCGAACTCCTCCAGCCTGGACGGAAGCTACGAACAGTCCATAGTGCGATGGCACCCAGGCGAGTAGCCCGGCAGAGTCCTCACATGAAGAATACCCGAATTCATTACGAAGTTGGCGCAAAAGTGTATGTGCGGGACTATAGACATGGTTATAATAGATGGATAGAGGGTGAAGTCGCAAAGAGACAGGGGAAGGTCATGTATGAGGTCAGAGTAAGCAAAGAAATCTGGACCAGGCACCATAATCAACTAAGGCCAAGAGAAGCCAAGAAAAAAATTGAAGTTACTGGATACTTTCCAACTTCCGCCAATAACTACAACGGAGGCAACTCAGTCATCTAATCAAGCAGAACATTCTTCAGGTTTTCGGTCGGAGCGCAAACGAAGAAAACCAAAGAACTTTCAGGTAAACCCAGTTGTGTCGCTATTAATTTTTTTTCCAAGAGGTGTTAGGATATTCACAGGAATATCCCAAAAATTATCTCGAATGTAAATTGGCATGTTTTCAGCCTCTTCATATATTTTACATGTTATTTCCTATTGGCCATTATTACAGTTGTCCTAACTATGACTTTCATGTGTCGTTTCCCTATTGGTCAATTTTGAGTTGTCCTAATTATAACCTTTACGTGTCCTTCCTTTCCATTGGTTACTGTTAATAGTCATCGTAACTGTATAAATATGCCTTGTTTGTAAACCATTTTTGTTCTGCTGCTGACCCCATAAACAATTCTCATTTAACGGCTGTGTTCTGATTTATTGGAGTTGGGGAACAGTATTGGGGTCGAACTAGGATATCTGAATTTGGTCAATCGGTAGAATTTCGTGTAGTCCTATCGCGATACGTAATATTTGGGCGAGTTTATAACAATTCCATAACTGACGTAACTAAATTTCCCTTTTGATTATCTGTAAAATTGCAGTGTCTGGTGTTTGCGATTCTGAGGGACAAACGTATAGTCATTCTTTGTATGTATCTACATACCTGATCACAAAGAAACATGTAGCAAGGCACAAATGTACCAACCGAATCAAACGTAAACAGCCAGTATGTGTATTTCCAGAAATGTACATAATTGCCAAGTAGTTAAGAATGGTATATTTAGATAGCTTCATTTCGTTCGAAGTAAAAAAAACAAATGACATGCCATCAGTTTGTTGTAATCTTTTGGATGCATTTGTTCTCTTCTTTTGTTAAGAGCAATATGGGAAATAAAATTCAGAGCTTACCTGACTATTCTTCGAAATTACACGATGTCTTCATATTAATCACGATTCTTACTCGTTGATGGTATTCCCAATACTAATCTAACCCATCATTTATTTCACAGGCCTCCTGATGTTACAGAAAATTATTTTTTATTTAAGCTTCAACTCTTATGTATTGCATTTGAATTAGCAACTCTTTTCTATGAGAACGACGGTACGTTCTTAACTTCTCGCATTGGTATTCGATCAATTATAAATTACAAACCTTAAATAGTTCAAATCCATAATCGCAGATTTACATAATATAATACTTACAAGATGACAAATCCAAAGTGTTAAGGAGTTGTGATTTGCAAGCACTGATTGTTTAGAACTGTCTCGGTTATTTAATTTTGGACAGTAGATTGATATTTTTCATCCTTACAGTAAGTACGATACAAAGAAGCATCCTAATGATTAAAAAGTAAATGGAATGAGGACTGGGACTCATTGATCAAATATAGATCCACATATTCAGTTTTGATCAAAACTTATTTTGCGAAGGTTAAAGGTAGTACTTCGTTACATGAATCGAAAAAGGTGAAGAGTGACTTGAAACTGCAACCCAATGGTTAATAATCAAATCACACAACTACTAAGCTACAGCCAATAAATATTGCATCCGAGCATATATCGGATAGTAATAAGACCAAAGAAAAAATGGAAGCATACCAATCAACAATCCCTATATCAGGATATACGTCTAATTTAGTAATGATAATTATTCCACAACAAAAGACAAAACACTAGTGCTACTTAAATTAGAAACCTGATGAAAACAAGTACCTCGTCGTTTAAAAAGTATAGTCACAAATAACTGATTTCATGATTGTGAGACCAAATGAAACGATATATGAGAAATTCAGAACTCAAATACAATGTACAGACGCTTCATTCAGTTGAAATCCAAAAGCTTTAATAAAAAGCACTGTAAATATAAATTGAACAGTAAACTAACAACCTTTCAATTATCTCTTTGTGTTAGAAAATCAGCCGGACACAATGAATACAAGAAAACCTTGATGGATAAAAAAGGCTATTCAAAAGTCTAAGCAAACAGTTGAAACAAGGTAATTAGAACGACTAAAACAAGATCTCTTTATAGGCAGACTACAGCGAATCCAGTGAATGCTATAAAATCTACAATAGGTCATTGGTAAGAGATTAAAATAATAAGAAATATAAAAGTTCCGTATAAAACCAATGACTGATAAAGGTACAAAAGCATTCATCAGTTTTAGTGGAAATACGGATGAAAATAAAAAGGAAAATACAATTTCTTTATCACAATGGTCACATTTTTAAAAACATCGTTAACCAAACGGTGAGTGGAGCATATTTCAAAAAGTATAATTCAAAACATAAAGTGGTTCAAAATCTCGAAATGATAGTCTAGTGAACAGATCACATCATTTTTCAATCTCGAATTGGTAAACGGTGATTCTGATTTTTCATCATCAGGCATAAAATGCAATTGCTTTTTAAAAGGCAAATTTAAGTGAGATAAAATATCCAGAAATTTATAAAAATCGGTAGAATTTTGTGGTTTTAGTTGGTTCATTATCTATATGTTATGTAAAATACAAAATGATAACATTAGCTTATTATGAATTTCTACAGGACAGTATGAAAAACCTATGCATAAGCATTTGAAGAACGACTCCTATTCTTTTATTCATACGTAAGACCGCTGTCTGAAGATAAATATGTGATGAGTATTTCCATACATCTCAGACTAGCATTATCAACAAAGTCATTGATCGTTAGTGTGAACTGTGTTGGTAGGCTCAGATTATCTGATTGAAATCCGGACGGTGATCACGACTAATAGTTAGACATCCCAGGTAACGCAGCTAAAAATCAGCTGTGTATCCATTCCTTCCTTATCTATACCGTGATCTTGAGTTTCAAGATCAATCCGTACATTTTATTCCGCAAATTTATCAGTACTTTTTAAGCTATACTCGCTTTACGAAATACTATACGAGACTGACCTTTATCTAAATTTGGACAGTATATAATTTAACACATTTCATTCTGTGCCCACCTATTCTCCTATTTTTTAAACTATTGCTGGTACTATAATTTGAATATATCATGACTCCAAAAAAATCTTTTCACTCTTACAAACAATTTGCACTTTGAACACTAAATAAAATAGTAAAGGGATAGTGATCAAAATATATCAGTTAATAACTAAATACCTGATAGGGAGATGCATGGACATGTATTCTGGGACATGAAACGGGGTTTAGCAAAGCTAAGTAGTTAAGCGAAACTGGCCATTGATGATGCGTACCTGAATGTCCAGAATCAAGACAATAAAGGTCTGTTATAAATTGAGGAAGTTCAAGAACTTGTGCAGGAACATCTTTCACAGAATCAGTAAGTGATTTTTTGGAGTGAGACAATACTGATAATTCATATAGTATCTCTGTCAAAACACAACATCCTTTGCTAAAACCAATCAGTCGTATAGGGATAGTAGATATTTGACATTGTATATTAGCTTCACAATTTAATAATTGTTCAACTGCATTTGACAGTAAACAACTTAAATGCATCAACCCTGTCATTTTACAGATCTCGTCGTTTTCAAATAATGGCACACCAGATTTCGCAAAAGGCATGAAATTAACATAACAAGCTATTGAATTAGATATCCAATGTGAAGCACGAATAATCCACACATGGGGATTGCAGTCACGAAACTGATTGGTAAATCGTACATACAAATTTTGGGCAGTATTTTCCAAATTCCATTTAATATATTGATTATTGAAATTATTTTGACTCATATTATATTCGTAATCCTAAAAATACCATATAGGTAGTGTGAATAAAACTGCCCTACATCCGCATTAGAGACGATTTTAACGAAAAGTATAGTTGCTATTTTCTTCAAAAAATGTAGGAATGTAGAGACAAAATTCTGCCAGAAAAATTAGATCTATCCTGCCTTCAATATCATTAATGCAAAACATTTTATCTATAGTTTTGTCGGAAGTTAGAGATTTTTCATTTCAGTGCAAAAACATAGAGGCGCCAACCACATTGCCGATGATGTCGTTGAGAAGAACGATGAAAGCTCCACAACCAAACCACCCATCTCAGAGAACAAAACTCCATCAAAATCATCCACCTGAGCTACAAATATTCTCCATCATTTCAACATTGCATTATTCTTGGAAATGGTTACAACAATACTGAGATTAAGATGAATATGAACCAAAAAATTACACAGATAGGTGTTTATAGGAAACAGGGGGTGCATTCTGTCAATAAGTGCCATCCATTACGTGACTTGGCTTCATGCTGATTCGTTCTAATTATTCAGCAAGAAACAGGTTGGTTCAGGATTTAGAAATTGGTAAGTTAAACGTACACTAAGAAAAAAATCCATTTCCCTCCGTATCAAGTCGAATGGCTTCCCTAGAAATTTGTCAGAAAGTCTTGAATTTGACTTTATACATAGATTTGAAGGAGCCCAAAGTCAAAGGAAAGCAAAACCTGTAAGCGCACCATTTGGTTGACTCAAGTTACTTCACAATAAAAGACACACAAGATGCTTTAATAATCCTTTATCTTATAGAGTAAAATTACATCAATTCAGTTGGTTATAATTAACATACGATCTGGCACATTGTCATGTGATCCTAGTCGTTTGTATAACATACTATTTTACCTTCTAGCACTGAAACTAGACAAAGAATTAAATTATTCTTGAAACGTAAAATCGCTTCCGAAAGAAGTTAAATCAGTGTCTAACACTTCCTATTCTCAAACTAACCTGACGAAATTTTATTACAGACACAAAACATCATACCAATTTGTAGCTTCTTAATCCAACTGGGAAGTAAACAACATTTTTAAAATGTGCGTAAAATGTCGCAGCTTAAAAAACACTTAGTTATCTAAACATAAGCTTGTTACGATAAATACGTTATATGAAGTCAAGTTATATTAGGAAACAACGAAAATAATAGATGGTACACGGTCGTGAAATACGAAGAATAAAAGTGAAAGATAACAGGTTTTTTGAAGCATTGTTCATATGCTCGAGTTAAGCACTATGTACAGGCAGGAGGTCGGCTAGCGAGTCTTCATCGACATGTGAATAAATGATGTATTTAGGGCATATAAACACCACCGCAAAGCTTTATGCAAGTTGGATAAACAGTTAGACAGTCAAGGGTTTTCGACTGATCAGATCAAATTCGGCGGCCTGCATGAATACCTGAGTAACCTGTTCCTATCATCTAGATATTTTAATAGGTTATTTGTTTGTTTTAATATATCATTCTGTCTATTAATCGCATAACCTATTCAGGCGCCTTTATAAGAATTTTACGACCTTTCTCTGTACAAGTTAAGAAAAAGTACAATTAGAGACATCGTGGTGGCTGGCAATATGGATTAAAAGAATGAAAATTATTTAGAAGTCGATTCCCGAACTGCTAACATCTAACTGGCGATCACTCAATAGTTACCGTTAGGATCGAGCAATAAATAAGAAAAGGAAATTTGTTGAAATGCTTTGTGCTGAGAATTATTCTATATTGTACATAAAATATGATATTGAATAGAACCATAGTAATAATAATGGTAATAATGATAATAATCCTTATAGTTCCATGGTATCAACCTATTTATGTATGAACGAGCACGTTTCTTCGTCAGAGTTCTCAAGAGATAGCTGATATCTATGGTCAATTCATATTCAGTTACAAGTACACATGCAGACTCGCTTTTTATTCTACTAAGGACAGTATAATACCCCCTATTTCTAGTTCATTTTCCGTTTCGAATTATTTCTTGCTTTTTCTATCACTATTTCAGCATACTTCTTAAACGGTCCCGTTGTATAAACATACTTTCTGTATGTCCATGGTTGGGACAACAAATTGAAAATGGTAGACAGAATAAATCCAAGGAATGAGAATATGCATTCGCACTTTATCTTTTTCTTAGTATTAGGAACCTCATAACTGTTTTAATTTGTTTTATTTCATATTCATTTTCATCCTTTTTATCCCATAAGTCTTCTCTGATAACGTTTTCTGTTGTTTATGAGTATAGACACAGGAGTTGGAAAAATAATACATTTACTGACCCGTAAGGTTCAATTTTAATCCAATCATCTAATTAGAGTTTTATTTGATTGAAATATACTACATTAATTACCTTTTATGAGGTAGAATTCAACATATGTTTATAACAGATATGCTACGTTTGAACAGTATAATCAAAGTCGTTATCCAGAATAAAAATAACCAGTCGAGACACATTTTATCTATTTATAAAACTCACCTGCAGATCACCTCCAAAATAAACCAAATTAACAGTAGGATTCGTTTTTGTTCCGAGGAAAATTACATCGTTGTGTTTCTCAAGATAACCCACACAATTCTTAAGTTCGCGCTTTATTAAACACATTTATCTTGGAATCGGTTCTACAGCTAGAGAGAAAGAGGATTTTTAAAAGTTTTTAATAATATAAGCAAAGGCTTTTGAAAAGTAATGGACCGTTTATTGGTTTGCTTATGATTAGAAAATGAATCAATCTAGAAACTATAACTGAAGAGTATTTATCTGAAACTTATTAAGTAACTAGCTTTGTTAGTAAAACGCTCCAATTTAGTTATTCACCTATAAAAAATGTAGGACCTGTTACAAGTGTTTATCGGTTCCAGTTGCCACGCTACTGCAACACAGTGAGGCAAAGTGAACAAAATCACCAATGCGGACTCAAGGCCAACAAGTTAATTAGTTTCAATGATTTCCTGAATCTGAAATTTTTATAAACAATCTCCTACTCTCTGAGTATGATTTGAAACGATACCCGGAAATTAAGTCAAACAATCAAGTCTTAATTCACTGGAGAATAAGTGGTCTACAAGCTGATTTCTCCCAACCACGTATAATATTTGGTCATGTTTATTTCGCGTTCATATTCTTCACAGAAACATTTTATTTTATTCCATAAAAACCTATTCATCTGACTAGTGATATTGTTTTCGACTTTGAACTATTCAGGGACTTAGGTCGATAATACGGTCTTGTGACAATCTATCACTCGACCACAATACATTGTTGGAGACATCTATCGATCGGCACTTCACGCATCTATTTTAAAAATTAGAAATGTCTCAATAATCATCAAAAACACCATCCATAACGGTGGTGACGAGGACAAGATAAAAAGGATTTTCAAAATCCTTGCTACTATAGATGAGGAGAATTCATTATTCGTCAAGCTAATGCAGCCGCAGATTAAAATGCTCCCAAACGAGTCGAAATCTAAACACAACTTACACGCTAATAACTTAAAACCGAATACAGTTCAGAATGAAGAATAAAATAGAGACAAAAACCTCAATTCATGCAACAACACAATGGTCGAAAACAATGACAACTAAGTGGATGTAGACTTGAAGTCATTTAAAATGCAAATTCAGTCATGCAATATTAGTAAGGATCCCCAGGGAATTATTAAACTTTAAGTTCAGAACCTCCGATTTCAATCACAGAACATTATTCAGAGTCTACAGTACATATTTCATATTAAACCTCACAACCCATACACTAAATAATCTCACGAGAACTACTTACTTTCGCAGTCACAGCACACGGTCACTTTAGGTCCTCACATTGTTACGAACCAAATCACGCAACAAACGAAAGGGGAAATGAAATATCTTAAGTTTTATATTAATAAGGCGGTTACAATCGGAAAAGGAAACAAAAATATGGCTTACGGTCAATGTATAAGCATGTAATACACTTAGTATTGTTTGTTTGGATCTTCCCATCGATGTGTTTAGGACTGCAACTGGTCAGTCTCTAACAATACTAAGTGAATTCAAACTTCACCCCATCGCACAAGCAAGTGGCTATCAGGACTCAGTGGCCGAGTGGATAACGCGATGGCGTTTGAAGCGAGGGTACTGGGTTCGAGTCCCAGAGTGAACATCAACTCTGAGATGCAGGTACATCCAGCTGACGAGTCCCAAATAGGACGAAACGCGCGTCCTGGATTCCACTGCTAGCCACTATCCATCTCTGCTTACTAAGCATGTAATAGTTTTCAAAAGATTTAACTATGACAAGGGGGGTTTTTGTGGAGATTTAGTAATTTTATAGTTAAGATCATGAGTCAATTGAGGCTAGACCACCATCGAAAACCTGGAAGCACTGGACGGCCGTTTCGTCCTATTATGGGACTCCTCAGCAGTGCGCATCCACGAACCCGCTCTCGCGAGATTCGAACCCAGGACCGGGTTCGTGGATGCGCACTGCTGAGGAGTCCCATAATAGGACGAAACGGCCGTCCAGTGCTTCCAGGTTTTCGATGGTGGTCTAGCTTCAATTGACTCATGATCTTAACTATAAGATTTAACTATGCTTTAATTATATGTGAAAATTATATTTGAAATAGTCTCAGCGATTGAAATTCAAATAATTGTTTGGTTGAGCGAAGACATAATAATAGGGAGTTGAAAATAAATGTTTTCAGAAAAACAACACATTCAGAGAGATGCTTAGATTTTGGTTCGGCTCATGCATTATGTACGAAAGTTACGGTTCTTAAAAATTTAATTAACAGAAGTCTTAAGCTTGTAACAGATAAGGAATACCAACAATATGAATCGAATAGGATTTTATCTACGCTTAGGGATAACAACTACCCAAAGGAGTTTTAAAAGAAGATTGTTAGAAAGGAAAGAAAAGCTAAACTAGAATGTGTGCAGAATAGTTAGTTGGTTTTGGTGCAAAGTATTTAATTAGCAAAAGAAACAAATGGGACTCTTGAGCCAAACCGAAGCAACCCCTGCCAGATCCATTTATGTTCAAAACCTACGAAGACGTTCAAGTAACGAGACGGATTCACATCTCTTATGAGTCATCAGCTCATCTTGCATGTGAAACTTTTTGAGTGAGTGTTGAGGAAGCTTGTCTGATTATATATGCACTCATAATTAAGTACACGTGCCTAATTGATAACCCACAGCTTGTTTTTACTTTTGTATATCTTCTCAAATTGTGATGAGACTTGGCACTTACCATGAAAATACATAACGATCGCTGCTCGAAAATCTGTCTACTATTCATGATCTTGTACAATATGACGTTTGTTTGCACTTCGATAAAATTCTTTAAACATGATACCGTTTGATATGCACCATTCTAAGTGGCGATAGCAGTTGTTGTGTGGTTTGTTATGGAAATATGGGAAAAATTAGATGTCTAGGGTTAGGCAAAAGGTGAGTTAAAAATTTAGGCAAAAGTAGACAATCCGTCGTGTGTTTAGGCGAAAAGTATACAATTCAGCGAGCTTTGAAACACAGAGACAAGTAGGAGGCATTCTTATCATTTACCCCTGACAGACGAGAAAGCAAACATTTCAGAGCGTTTTCCCTTTATTTTCCAACGAACTTATCCTTTTGCTTGCCTAATATATATAAGTTGTTCGGGCGGTAAGCGCACGAAATACACGTATATTCGAAAAGTAAACCGACCGTTAAGCAATTACACAAGCATGGAGTAAAAAAGCTGGTAGTTTGAACTAAAAGTTAGTAGAGCAAGATTCAAATCCTTTAGTTTTGTAGTGCGCACACCGTTCAGACGGTTGTAATGATATTTACAACAGCAGCTGCTGTTGAAGTGAATCACCCGATGAGATGCATAAAAGTTTTTCACCTACTTAGTTGACTGCAATCTTCGAATTAATGGCATGTCGAATGATCAATGGCTTTCAGGTCAACAGCCGTTCCTTACCGTCGCCCTGCATTTCTCAAGGACAACCTTGAGGTTGAATATCCCCTATTGTATCCGAGATCGATAAAAAAAGACAAATGACTGAAATACTTCTGTCTTCTGAAGCAAGCGTAAACTAAATGGTGTAATATAATCTTGATCACGATTCGCTATTTTTTAAAGGTTTAATCTCTAAGACTGTGTCAACAGTGGATGCGTCACGGACCATACCCTGGTGTTCACGTGGATTTGAGATTTTTCTTGGCATTTTTCAAAATCGTTCAAAATGAGCATCAGAGTTGATTCTTTTACGAAAAAGTTTGATTTAGCAGTCCAAAGGCCCGTCAAAAGTTTTCATTTGGCTAACTACTGGATTAAATGTTGGAATTAAAGTATATGATGTGATTTCTTGATGAATAACAACCGTGATATTGTTTTCCAAGTCACCTAGCAGGGTATGGTTGGAAGTCATCACTCTTGGTGATCAAATGTGCGATCTGAAGTACGACCACACCGTTGGTCTAATAGTCAGAGCACTGACTAAATTGCTAGGTGACAATGATGATACAGGTATTCGGAGTTTAACAATATCTTTGCACTTAACGCTTCTAGAATTGAAGTATAATAATGCAGTCAAATCAGAAGCAAAGAGTGAATTGGTTCGAAAAAATATTTGGAGAGCTTCTGGCATGTAGAAAAGCTTCTGGTTTAAGCTGGTTGGTAGTTGTATTGAATGCATAGCACGGTGTACCCACTGTAGTATCGGTTCATATGTTAAGCCCATATACTTTATTCTAGTTGTTGGCCAAGCCAATTCGCCTATCCATTATGAGTCATATTTTGATCTTGTTAATCATTTGCTTATTAACCTTGACTATACTGTTATATGAGCATATATATGTACACTTCGTATCTTATTCATCGTATGTCAGTCACTCATTTTTGTCCGACTATAAATGTTGATTAACGCTTGCTTAAATCGAGTTGGCTTCCCCGCCATCTCCAATACGTATTATCTTTTGCTTCGCTCTCGAGTTGGCTTCCCAGTTATCTCCAATACGCATTGTTTTCGCCTCGCTTTCGAGTTGGCTTCCCAGCCATCTCCAATACGCATCACTTTCGCCTCGCTCTCTCGCTTGCCGCTCACTCGCTCGTTCGTATTCGCTCAGGTGTTGTTAGCTTTCGAACCTGAGTTATTCGACAATAAACTGTAGTTGCTGCTATCCTTTGTCTTCTGATTTTACGCACCGTTAAGATTAGAATAATAACGGTTATCGAAGTAAACGATTAACGAATTGCGGCACTACACCACTCGTGATCAGGTGTGAGTGTGTGACTGAGCGCCTTCAGCCAGTGTGTTCAGTGAAACTAATGAGGTCAGCATCAATGTTGAGGACTTGATGAACCACTTATCTTGGGGATTTATTTACCTCTACAACAGTCTTAGACGAAGAATATGCAGATATACAAGACTTTGTCATGCAAACTTAAAGACTCACATCGTCCTTTTCTCCCTTATTGATTGGACAAGGTATTGTAAAAGGCTTTTTATATGTTATAAGACATCACATTTTGATCACCAACGTAAATGATCTATATCGAATGATTGGGGATCTACCCTAGTTAGAAGGGGATGGTTTGACCAACTAGCTAACGTCGAAGTCACATCTTGTCTTTAA